ACTAATACTACTGATATTACTATTATCATTATTATCAAGAATTTCTTTTAGTTTATTGTCAGCAAATTTCCGAAGTTCTTCAATAGTTGGTCTTTTTGATGGATCCACATCCCAACACTTCTGCATTATCTGCAAATAATCATCAGGCATTCCAGGTAATATTGATGGTCGTAAACCTTCCGCACATATATCAAAAATCAAACAATGATTATGAGCTCTATTGTCAAATGGTGGATGACCTGCAAATATTTCCCACATTAACATCCCAACACTATAGATATCTGTTTCTTTGGTGTTCTTTTTGCCTCTAAGTACTTCGGGTGCAACATATGATACAATTCCATAAACTTTATCTGATGATTTTTCATCAACTGGTCCACATAATCCCAAATCTGTAATAAAACAAGCACCTCCTTGCAATAATATATTACCACTATGTAAATCACAATGGATTAAATCTTTTTCATGTATCTCATTTAATGCATAACATAAATAATAAAATATTGTAATTCTGTCTTTTAATGTTAAATTTAAATGATTTTTTTGTAAATAATCCCTTAAATTTCCATCTAGAACATAAGGTAAAACAATTGCATAATTTCCATTATCTGGGAATTTTGTTATACCATAGCAAGAAACAATAAGTGTTGCTTTAAGTTTACAATAATTCATTGCCTGTAATTAAATATAAGAACCCATTAGTATTTTATTATATAATACAGTATTGTCTATTTTGTTTTAAATGAAAACTACCAACCTCATCAAAAAATGATTTTCCTGGATTACTTGAATCATTTAAACTTTTTAATACTACTACATACCCTTCTCCTAAATAACTGAATTCTTTTTTATTTTCGTCATAATCATCTATATATCCTCTTGTCCATGTAGCAGTAAAAATCGAACTAAATCCACCTTCTGTCAACTTCGTTACATCATCAAATTGCTCAAAAGGTATCCATTCTAAAATATAGCCTGGTAGAGAAGACTTCATTTGACATTGTTGAATAAAGTTATCAACTATGTTATTTCCTGATGTCCAAGTGGTGAAAAGACTCTGTAATTGTAAACTAATACAACCTTCACAGAACCTATCAGAATATCTTGTCAATTTACACTTGTTACATTCTTTTGGTTTTCCTTCTTTATTTGTTGCATTCTGTAATTCATCCTCATAAATAAACTTTTCTCTGCAAAATTCTTTTTCATTTTCAGAAAGCACCTTGTTTTTCTTGACTAATGAAAAAAAATAGTCTTTTCTACTTTTTTCATCAGAACTATTAACATTAGCATTATTGTTCATTTCATTAACAATTTTAAATACAAGTTCCTTTCTTTCTGTTGATAACGATGATAACAATTTATTATATGACATTATATAAAAATATAAACCTTGACTTATCGTTTTAATGAATAGAATTGAATATCGTGTAACAAATAAATTTTTCGTGCAACATTTTTTATGGTTTTTCTCTAACATAAATTGAAAAGTGAAAATTGCATTATTTAAAGAACAACTTCATCATCACCAAATTCTAGTGATCGATTATTGTGATTCAACAATAAAAGAAATTCTTTAAAGATTTAAAAGTGACAAAAATAGAAAACCTTTCTTATGTGCTGCCAATATTGATCAACCTATGTTGTTTCAAACTCAGATACTCAAGCACATTATTAATATTATTGCGTATTACTATTACACGTAGTCCTGTAGTTAACTTCAAAGTCAAAAATTCGAAAAAACATCAATTTAACACAACTCATATGTATGTAAAGATAATTTGATTTTTTACATTTTATGAAGTGTAATTTTGAAAGAAAAATATACGGAAAAAATTAAATAAAATTTCTAACTCAAATTATAACATTTGTAAACTTCTCATGATAATCATTCTTGCATCATTGCACAATGAATGATACAATGATTCTTTATATACTCCGGGACACACAATTTTACATAATTTGGAACTTTTGATAATCCTATTTTATCATTATTGTTATTGCTGCTTGTATCAAGTGTTTTTAATTGTATCAAGCGTTTTTAATTACGTCA